ATCTGCTGTATCCCTCTGTAGGAACGATAAGAAAATTTCCGAACTTCCTTGGCGTCCTAGCCAATTTAAAGCTGTGGTAGGCATATGGTGAATTTTGCAGGACTATTAAAAGACTAGAGCGTTGACAGGTCGGAAGAAATTCCTCACTGCAATCGCTGGTACGGCTAGCTTTTTTGGAGGCAGAATTTACGATGAAAATATAGCTCATTGGGAATAATGGTAGAGATGGACAGTGGAGCAGGAATGAAGAAGAAACCATGTGAAACGGACAGGAATTTGGCGAATGGGACCTCTTCTCTTCCCGTTGCGTATTGATGATTCTCATCGTTGTCGCATTGATGATTCACGGGGAGCGTGCAACAGAATCGTCCGGGACTGGCGCCGTCGCGCGCGGCCACTTGCGCGGCGCCGTGACGCGGCAACAGTAGACTTTGTCGATTGGAGCGACAGATTTGCTGCCGTCCACATTAAGCCTTTTGGCGCTGGCCCGTCAACTTTAACGTTTTATTTTCTTCTTATTTTTAGGCCCGCTTCATTGCTGACGGCTCGTGCGGTCTTAAGGGATCAAGATCAATAGTTTAATTGAAATTTCAGGTACGCGAGGGCGGAGGAGACGGCGCCCGTGGTGTGAATAAATTCCGAGTTGGTCAGCATACTCCTGTAATACAAGTTTCGTTATGGAATCATTCAAAAACCAAGACAGCGACTCAGCCGCATTAACTGATTAAGCACATTCCCCTTCAGATGGCTTCCGCCGGCCATGTTATGAGCCTAAAATGTTAAAGGGAGGAGTCGGGGTAGCCCCTGTGAGAAATCGAATGACGCTCAACTCGTCCACTACAGTCGCGACGTCGCGGCCGCGACCACAAGCGCGGGGCTCCGGACGATTCTGTTGCTACACACCCATGATTCACTTCAACACTACGTTCTCTCTTTTTTATCACTAGCCACGTATAGACCTGTGGAGTGATTTTATAGTCGGTGGGCGTTAGTTCACCTGGTGTATTAACCTAGCGTAGACCTGGAAAATTGCTCCTTCTTCGATCTCTGTTCTTATCATGGAATCCTCCTTCAAAGGCAAACCTCTGGATTATTAGGAAGGATACCGCGAGGCAAATCGTTGAGTCCGTACCTTTATAGATCGTACCAGCTTTGTTGCCCAAATTGCGCGATTAGGGCGCTAATCCATTACGAACCTGCAACCATCGACCCTCGCTGCAACGCTTCCCACCCACCGCATCGATATAGAGATCAGCGTACTTCCTCGAACTCTCGAAGAGCACAGCTCTCTCGCGGTGTTTGCTTTCTTTGATCGCCCTGTCTCGCCAACGTCAGACTGCACAGTAGGTTAAGGCCTTAATTTTAGCGCTCCCCACGATTTCTCTTGTTCTCCTTTCCACTTCCAATTCATTCCGCAGCTCAGTCGTCACTACGATTCGCTCTTATACATTAGGATCACTCCGGGGTTTGCCTTTAAAAGATTGCGCACACGTTCAAGGAGAGGTGACGCGTTCATTTGTAACTGCGATTGGGTGTGATGGAAAGTGTGCCAACAATGCTGTAGTTCGTAAGTGTCAGTGCAAAATAGTATGGTAGTGTAGAAATCTGTCAAAGGACCACAAGCGGGCGTGAATATAGTAAGTAGCCGCAAGTTTTCGAGCGCGTCAATGGCAATGCAAGTTCAAATTGTGTTAGAACCTAAAGCAGTGTTAACGGATTTGACGAGAGAATTGTTCAAAGTTTAAGCTGTAAGAAGTGAGCCATATCTTGAATTATTATAAGATCTCTGTTTACTTTCTGAGAAGCTCTGGAAGCTTCATGGAAGCCATTTCTAGAAATACACGACAGCGTGAGATTTTCATAGTGTCAAGAGAACAACATTTCTATGCATACCTGCAAAAGTAGTAACTTC